CGCACGTACTTGGAAGTCCACCCAGAAGCAGTGGCGCTGCAGATAGACCTCGCGAACGCTTTTAACGCTGTGGAGCGCAGAGCAGTATTCGAGGGCCTAAGGAACAGGGCTCTGGAGAACCTCATCCCCTTGGTCCGCCTCTCGTACGGCACCCCTTCATCGCTATACCTCGATCACGACTTTGGCGCAGCCCTGCTGCAGAGCGCCAGAGGAGTGCGCCAAGGGGATCCGCTCGGTCCGCTCCTGTTCGCGGCAAGCATCCACCCGTGCCTCTCGAACATGGCAGCGGCGCACCCACAGGTGGTCCTGCTCGCCTACGCGGACGACATCACCCTCCTCGGTGAGGCCCCTGCCTGCACGACGGCCTTCAACCACCCCACGTCGGCGTTGGCTACACTTGGACTGGTTCACAACCCTTCCAAGTGCGCGGTCTGGTCAGCCTCGGCGGTTGACCCTTCCACTGCACCCCCAGGCATCACCATCTCGAAGGAGGGGCTTCAGGTCCTTGGCAGCCCCATCGGCTCTACCCAGGGCTGCGCAAGCGCGGTGAGAGGGAGGCTTGCAGCAGCAGCGGAACCATTGCCCCTCCTCGCCCAAATGGACCCCCAACTCAGCCTCCTCCTCCTTACCCGCTGCGTCAGCCGCCGCGCCTCCTTCCTAGCAAGGACAACCCCCCTGGAGGTGCTCCCAGAGACGGAATGGTCGGCGTGGGGGGAGCAGTTATTACTTACCTTTTTGGACTCTGCCCACATCATGGCCCCGAGGAGTAACAGAGAGAGACGGCGGATCTGGCGGCAGGCGGCGCTGCCTGTCACTCTGGGTGGGCTTGGCATCACCGACCCCGCCGTGGAAGGGAGCTACGCGTACCTCGCGTCGGTGATTAGCACGGCCCACCTCCTGAACTCCCTGACTGATGCGTTGCACCCAGCGGTGCCTGAGCTCCTCCCCCTCCTGGACTCTGCCCACGGTTCCACCCACGCCCTGCCAGCACACCTCGCAGCCGCCGAAGCGGCACTCCCCCCCGAGGCACTTGAGGCCCTCCAGGCAGGGAGAGCGGAGCCGAAGGGCCTGAAGCTGCAGCAGTCCCTGGCGCTGGCGGTCCACACCCGCCGCTTCCTGCGGGTGATGAACCTATGACGCGAAAGACGCGTCCTGCGTCCTGGACGCATGCGTCCGGACGCATGCGTCCGGACGCAGGACGCTTCACCAGGACCAGAAAGACGCACCAAAAGACGCAGTCCCGGGCAAGCAAAATAAACCCCCGGGCAGGCAAAAAAACTTGTTATAGGGCATGGGATGAAGGGGGGGGGGGGGGGGGGGGACGTTCCACACTTTCAAGGCAAACTTGGCCCCAACATCAAATTTTCCCCCAAATCTCAAGATTAAGGTGAGTCATGTATTGTCACACACATGTCCCAAGGTCACATACACAGTTTATCGTATCACTGAAGAACACGCATACTATTAAACTACCACCACAGCACTGCATGCAAGCAACCAGTCACTCATCCCCGTCCTCCTCGCTATCCTTCTCATCCTGGTCCTTGTACTCATCGACCATCATGTCGTCCTCGTCCACCTCCCTCTCCCCATCCTCCTCCAACATGTACCCCTCAGGGACTCGTCCTCGGCATGAACATCCCTAGATGCGTTAGATGACGTAGGGTTGCTTGAGGAAGCCATAATGGAACTAAGCTATGCTTGTAGGCTAAAACCTCTAGGGTTTTCGAAAGAGAATTGGTTGGGTGGGTGAAATGAGAAATGACTTGGTTGGATTGCTAAATGGGCTTGGTGGTAGGCACCTTGGTTGGGTTTTCTAGATGTGAAGTGGTTGAGAGGTATTTGGAATTCAATTGTTGCATGGGGGGTTATGAAATGTTGGGGGGGGGGGCTGTTTTTCAATGTCGAATTGGGCAATGGGGGGTCAGAATTTCGCGATTTCGACACTCGCGTCGAAATCGCGAGATTGAAATTCGTAATCTCGAAGAAAAAAAAAATCGGGGCAGCCCGAAAATTTTTCGATCTGCATCCTGCGTCTGGACGCGCGTCTTGCGTCCTAGCGTCCAGACGCTGCGTCCAGACGCAGGACTCAACGTCCTCTGAGCGTCTTTCGCATCATAGTGATGAACGAGGCAAGGCAGATGCGCCCCAACCCCCTCTCTGGCCACACGCAGCGGATGCAATCAGTGCTAGGCCCGGGAGCAGGGGACTGGCTGCTGGCGATCCCCCTCATCCCCTCGCTCCGGTTGGGCCCCTCGCAACTCTCTACTGCAGCCGCCTTCCGCCTAGGCCTCCCCCTCCCCGTGCCTAGGCGCTGCAACTGCCGGTACCGCACCACGTTCCCTGATGACCGCCTCCCCAACCACCTCCTGCGCTGTGAGAAAGGGAAGGGGAGGACAGCTACGCACCATGCCCTTAGAGATGAGATTGCAAACATCGGGGCAGAGGCGGGCTTCACAGTGCACAAAGAGACGTACGTCTACTCTCTCGTTGAAAACCTAAAGGCGGATGTCACCATCCGCCATCCCCTGACGGGAGAGGTGTGGTTGTGCGACGTGACTGTGACTGACCCCGTGTCCCACCAGGACGAAGAGTGCAGTAGGGCTCCAAGGTGGGCGGCAAGAGCGGCAACAGCTAGGAAGGAGGAGAAGTATGCGCGAAGGAACGCGTGGGTGGGCTTCCACGCCCTTGCAGTCGAGACGTATGGCTATCCTTCCCCGGGGGTGATGGCTTACCTGCGGCAGTGCGCGGAGCTGGCGGCCAAGCTGCGATTCAACGCAGCTCCTACCTCATACGAGGCAGCCAAGCTGCTGACGGAGTACCGCCAGCGCTGGAGTGTCTGCCTCCAGAGAGCGCAGGCCAATGCCCTCCGCTCCAAGACCAACGAGGCCTTGGCAGCGGACGAGCTCGGCATGCAGGGCCCCATCGTCCCTCTTAGTGAGGGACAGCTGCACCAGCTGATTGAGCCCCCGTTCGGCCAGTAGGGTCGGACAGAGGGGGGTGGGGCGGAGTAGGTTAGAGGTGTGTTTGCTCGTTTGGTTGGAAGTTTTGTTTGGCTGTTTGGCATGTGTTTTGCATCTTCCTCTGTATCACCCCTTACTTAATACGAGGGCCATTCGAGAGAGAGAGAGAGAGAGAGAGAGAGAGAGAGAGAGAGAGAGAGAGAGAGAGAGAGAGAGAGAGAGAGAGAGAGAGAGAGAGAGAGAGAGAGAGGAGGGACGGAATGTTGGGTAGGGAAAGGGCTGAGGCTGCGCGGGGAAGGGAATGGCGAAATGAAACGCGGGACTAAGAGGGCGAGAAATACGGCATGAATCTGAGATGGCAGGGGGAATGGAAGAGGAATGTCAGAGCACCTGCAGCTGATGGCGCGGAGACGTATGTGCATGGCAAGACAGTACGGCGCAGTGCGGTACCTACCTTGTAAGTGGTGGGGTTGATGGAAGCAAAGGCGTAGAAGACATGCGTGAGCTTGGCAGCGGGAATGGCAGCCCTGTTCCCCCAGCTGCCGAAATACGCCATGCGCTTCAGCCCCGTAGAGGGGGTTGGGGAGTCGCTTGTGGGCGGAGAGGGGCTGGTTGCGGGAGGCAAGGAGCACTGGGACTTGCAGCCTTCGCCGCAGTAATCGATGGTGGAGCCGAAAGGAGAGGGTGAGTTGGAATGGAGAGGCCGCTGCGATATATAGGTCTGATGAGCGATGCGCAGGACTGCCACGTGACGGGGTGGGGGACTGGCGGGGTCGACGGGCGGGGTCGACTGGCGGGGTCGACGGGAGACCTGGGAACGCGCCGCAGGGGGATGGCTCGCGCGGGGCGTAAGCATGGGGAAGGAGCTTCGCCATGCCCATGGTCCGAATCTCGCTGCATGAAAAATAAATGCACGAGGGCAGCTACTACTACACTGCTACTAGTACGGCACCTGCGCGACAGACGCGCAGGCGCTACTCGCTAGTACGAGTGTTGCGACGTCTCAGAAGCGACTTTCAACTTGAACGCGGTTACCAGGCACCTGCACGACCTACGCAGCTAGTAGCAACGGCATCTGCGTGCGCGGGACGCCGCAGCTTCTACTAGTAGCTGGGGCACCTGCGCGCCTGACGCAGCTCAACTGCATAGCAAACAATAATTGCGTGTAGAGAGGGTATTTTTGAGACGTCTCAAAAAATACCCTCTCTACATCTGGGGCACCTGCGCGCCTGACGCAAACAATAATTGCAAGCGGGGAAGGCTGAAAACGCTCAGCTCCTACGGGTACGACGACACCTGCCCGTAGCGCATGTGGGAGGGGTGATGACGTCGCGGGGAAGGCGGCGGCTACATAACGAACGATTATTGTTGCGCGGAAGGCTGGAAACGCGCTTACCTTCGTGCGTCGCTCTTCCTCAAGCAGACGTCTACACAGCTGCTACTCGGGACTGGTGTTTCTCGAGCAGATGTCTACACTGCTACTACTCGGACTGGTATTCCTTCAGCGGACGTCTGCACGGTTATTACTCGGACTGTAGTCTAGAGAGTCCGCTTCATCTGCTTGCCATGTGGGTCCGACTTTATCGATGTCGAGGTTCACGAAGCTACGCACAGCGCAAGTGCCACAGTCCGTTGTGCTTTGGGAAAGACGAGGAAGGAAGCCAAGGAATGTCGAAATGATGTACAGTAACAGAATGGTTGATTATACGTGGAGGTTGAGAGCGATTCTCCTTAGTGATGGAGGTTGAGAGCGATTCTCCTCAGTGATGGAGGTTGAGAGCGATTCTGTAGGAAACAGAATGGTTGATTATACATGGAGCAATCGTATTGTAATGTTTCTCATTGGATACATTTCAAAGAAATAACTAGCTTGTAGCTTGGTTTATATAAACATCAACCATTGCAACTGCATCTATTCAAGCATACGTACAACTCGATAAAACCATTCACACATCCACCTAAAACTCCCAATGAACTTGACTACACAACACATCAAGCGAAATCCCCAGTAAGATACTCCTTTTGTCGTCCTTCATCTCACGCTGCGGCTGCAGCATTGAGCAGAGCATCGTTCGCATCCTGGCTCATCGCCCAGAAGAACCACCCTCCATAGCCTTGCGCCTTGGCAAATTGAACCTTGGTGGTGATGGTGGAAGGGTCGTCGTAACCAACCCACTGGTCACCATTTACCGCATACATAGAGGACGTTGGGGCGTCGAGCGTAGCTGTGTAACCTCCAGATGTTACCAGCTCATCAATTTCCCTGTAAAAGAGAACACCAGCTTCCTGTTGGAGGGGTAGAGAGGGAAAATGCAGGCCAAGGAAGAGGGTGATGAGAGCCTGCTTGGAGCTGATTGCTTAGACTCAGGGAAAAGGGAATAAGTTGTATTCTGAAAGTGCAAGAGGAAGGAAAAAGTGAAAGTGAAAGAAAAAAAAAGCCGCAAAAGGCTGTGATCATGTGAGAGAGGGAGAGAAGCGTGCTGCGTAGAAGAAACAGGAAAGGGAAGAGCTCACCTGACTGATAGACCCAGGCTGACCAGGCCCAGTGGCTGCAGCTCCAACCCCAGTACTGCTTGTCGAGGCTAGAGTCCAGGTTCGACCGTACATCGCCAAGCCTAGCATGGCCTTGCTTGGGGCCAAGCCTCGGGACACCCAGGCAGCCATAGCACCCTTGAGGCTCAGCTGGGGGTTGCTCAGATCCTCCAGAGCAGTGTGCATGCCGGTGATTAACTCCCATGAACCATGCAGATCGTACGTCATAACATTTACAAAGTCCAGCGCACTGTTGAGTGTCGGGACGTCGTAGGATTCAGCGATTGTCGGCTCGTATGCAGAAACTGCTGCAGAGAGCAGGAGCATGGGGTTTCCAGACGAAGCGGCTTCGGATTCGATCGCCGCCCGGAAATCCGTGACCAGGGCGGAAAAGAGGGCGGCGTTGCCCGTTGGGAACTCCCAGTCGAGATCCAGACCGTCGAAATTGTACGATCGGGCGAGGATGATCGCGGATTGGATGAAAGCAGAGCGGGAGGAGGGGGACGAGGCGGCGTTGACGAAAGCGGTGGTGCCTGCGGAATAGCCGCCGATGGAGAGGAGGGTCTTGATGGCGGGGTTGGTATCTTTCAGGGCGGAGTTGAAGCGGAGATAGAGACCCTCGGTAACGTCCACTGCTGGGTTGGAAGGGACGACCTGTGTGGGGGGAAAGAAGGTGATGGGTTAGAGGCTAGCGGCTTTCAGAACGGAGTTGAAGCGCAAGTAGAGGCCCTGGGTCATGTCCACAGCAAGGTTGGAGGGGACGACCTGTGATGGGAGAGAGAAAAGGGGCTGAATTTCAGGTGATGAAAGGGTTAAAGTTGCAGAGGGCAAGGTGGGCCCTGGTGTGAAGTTGAGGCATCGGTCTGAGATGGCAGCGGCAATGGAGGAGGAATTTCCAAATACCTGCACCAAATGGAACGGAAAAGTGGGAATGGCAAGACAGTACCGTACCTTGTATGAGGTGGCGTCACGTCAATGGAAGCAAAGGCGTAGAAGACATGGGTGAGCGTGGCAGCAGGGACGACGGATGGGTCCATGCCCGCCCATTTGACAAAATACGCCATGCGCTTCATCCCCCCCGAATGGGGGAAAGGGTTCCGTTGGGGGGCGGAGGGGGGAAGGGGTGCGCTTCACACGCCTCCTGTACCTTGTGAATGGTGCCGTACCTGGTATGTGCTGGCGTCAATGGAAGCAAAGGCGTAGAACACATGGGTGAGCGAGGCAGCAGGGATGAGCGATGGGTCCATGCCCGCCCAGTTGACGAAATACGCCATGCGCTTCAGCTCAGTAGGGGGCGGAGGGGAGTCGGTTGAGGGCGGAGGGGGAGAGGAGGCGGAGGGGGAGCACTGGGATTGGCAGCCAGAGCCGCAGTAATCGGGGGTGGAGCCACACCATCCCCACTCGCTGCAGCAGAGGTTGTCGGCGCAAAGAGTTGTGGCGGAGCATTGCTGCGCGCGCGCGCGGAGGGGGAGGTGCGCGGACGAGAGCAGCAGCAGCGCGAGCAGGAGGAAGAGGAGGAGCGGAGACCGCGGCGAGGGCAGTGGTACTATGATCGCCATGATTGTTGGGGTTGAGCAGCAGACTCGCAAGGCTTTTGATTATTAGGAGAAGGGAGCGGTGAGTTACAATGGGGAAGTTGCAATGGGGAGACTGGTTCGAGTGGTGGTGACTTGTGAGACGTGATGGGGCAAGGCTGTGTTATATACTCTGATGGGAGAGCGAATGGAGAGAGGAGCGGATGGGTTTGACGGGGAATGTATAGGGATGGCGTTATCCATGGCCAATGCGGTGTAGAGCTATCGGCGATTCGGACCCCTGCCGACGCAAAGGGTTACGGGAATCCGAGTGACTCGGATGGAATTCGCTCCTCTGACCGCAATCGCGACTCGTCGCATTCGGAGTATCTACAGCGATTTGGATTCGGAATGCGGCTGCGGTACGTCGGTGACTTGGTATGAAAAAAGAAAGAAAGGAAAAGTGCACACGACGGCTATGGCTGCGACACCCGCGCGCCGCGTGTGTGTAAAAAGGGCTGAAATTACTACACACGTGCCGCCGACGATAGGATTCCTTCGCGGAAACACCCATGACCCGTGCCGACGTCGCGACTCAAAACGCGACAGCTATTTACAACACAATTATTGCTGCAAGGAAGAACACCGCCGTCAATAACGCCGACCTTTCTCGCACAGACATTCCGGACAATGATCCCTCGGACTTCAGTCTGAAGATTCTAGCTAATGCGATTGGTCCGAGTTTGAGTGTTCGAGTGTCGAAACTATGTACGCACACCCTGAATGCCTTACCGTGAATGCCACGGGACTGGATCATGGAGTTGAGGGAGAAGAGGAGAGGGCTGTCTTGTCGGTCGACCAAACCCAAGTCGACACTATCAAGGGTGTTTCTAGGGACCTCGCAACTTATGTTCCAACATCTCGGTTGAGAACGATCCCGAGGAAATCCGAACGGTTAGTGCCACAAGTATTGGGACTTGTTCACTTTCGTTCGGTAGTATCGGTTGAGAAAGATTCTGTGGAGATTCGAAGGGTCATTCGTTTGAGATAAATAAATCTAACAGCACATTCATTCCTCTCACAGGATATAAAATTGTAGGAGTACGTTAGACCTGCAAATACATGAAAATATAGGTTTATGTTGAAATTCTCTTGAACACAAGGGTGTGTGCTATGTGATGTATTGTACAGACGCGCAGCGTAAATATCTATTCTGTAGTGTGTTGCTGATATCATGAGAATTTCTCCCCCTGTAGCTGAAGGTCTAGATCACTCTCTCCTAGAGCCCTGATGCTGGTGTTAGACAGGGGGGCAGGGGGGGCATGCGAGGAGGGACAAAAGGGCACATACAGAGGGGAAGGAAAGTAAGACATCAGAAGCAAGGTGTCAAATGTTGTAGCCTGTAGTGAGGTTTGTCTTAGGGGGTACAGAAGTTAAGGTTTGACATATGTACCTCAACCAACATCAATGCAACATTCATTCCTCATTCTGACATGATATCAGCTAGGTTAGGATCCTGTGGGATCCCGTTCCTCCGTTCTCCGTTCGTACCTCCCGAGCCTGATCCTACCTCTCGTTCGTACCAGTTTCGTAGTTACCGCGCCTAGTACCGAGCCTAGCGCCATCTCCCCCGTCGCGTCACGCCTGTTCCCCCCCGTCGCGTCGCGCCCGTTCCCCCCGTCGCGTCGCGCCCGTTCCCCCCGTCGCGTCGCGCCTGTTCCCCCCGTCGCGTCGCGCCCGTTCCCCCCGTCGCGTCGCGCCCGTTCCCCCTGTCGCGTCGCGCCCGTTCCCCCCCGTCGCGTCGCGCCCGTTCCCCCCGTCGCGTCGCGCCCGCCTGTTACCCCCCCCGTCCCGTCGCCCTGTCCCGTCGCGTCGCCCTGTCCCGTCGCGTCGCCCTGCCCTGTCCCGTCGCGTCGCCCTGCCCTGTCCCGTCGCCCTGTCCCGTCGCGTCGCCCTACCCCGTCGCGTCGCCCTGCCCTGTCCCGTCGCCCTGCTCCGTCGCGCCGCCCTGCCCCGTCGCGTCGCCCTGTCCCGTCGCGTCGCCCTGCCCCGTCGCGTCGCTCCCGCCCTTTCCCCCGTTGCGTCGCCCTCCCTAGGCCCTGGCCTGTCGCCCTTCCTAGGCCCTGGCCCGTCGCCCTCCCTAGGCCCTGGCCCGTCGCCCTCCCTAGGCTCTGGCCCGTCGCCCTACCCTAGGCCCTGGCCCGTTGCCCTACCCTACGTCTTGGCCCGTCGTCCTAGCCCGCTCTTCCGCTGCGACTGAGTCCTCTTCCCCCCCCGGTTGTTACTCGCCTGTTCGTTCGCGTTCGTTCTCACTATGGCGACTCCGCGAGTTCTTCGTTTCGACGCCGACGGTAGACCCCTTGACTTTTCCGTCTAACTTCTTCGCGCTCGTCGTCTGTTAGAGAGTCAGGTCCAGGGGGGCGAGACCCTCTGGTCACACGCTACTGGTGACCTCCCCGAGCCCCCCGAGCCTACAGCTTTAGGCCCTGCTCCTGACGACGCTGCTACGGCTCGCTTTGCCCGTCAGCGCGCTGACCGGACGGCTTGGACGTCGCGTGACGCTGCGGCCTGCATCGCACTCAGCAGCCTCCTCCCTGAGTCCGAGGAGGTCCACTTTACTCAGGTTCGCACCGCTGCTGCGTACCTCACTGCGATTAAGGCCCGCTACTCTACTCCCGCTACTGTCTCTCTCGGCCGTCTTTTCCTCCCGTTCCTGTTTCCTGATCTTGCCTCGTTTGAGCGCTCTGCTGACTTGATCGCTCACCTCCGCTCGCTCGACACTAGTTACCGCGCTGCTTGCACTGAGGCACAGCTTGCACTGCTTCCTCCCCCCATGGCGATTACTGTCTATTTCATCGCCACTAGCCTCCCTAACCGCCTTGCCTCCGTTCGTGACGCGCTTCTGCTGAAGCACCCTAGTGAGCTGACTATCGAGGTCCTTGAGTCTGCACTCAAGGACGTCGAGAGCAACCTTCGTTCGGTAGCTGCCGCCTCTGGTACTGTGTCCCCCCCACTCTTCCACGGGTGCACAGTCCCGCAGTTACCCACCTTCACTGCCTCTCTTGCCACTGCCGCTACTGACGCGACTGCGGCTGCTGTTACGACTGCGTCGCGGTCCCGCGGCAGGGGGGGCAAGAAAGGTGGTTCCGGTGGAGGTGGAGGCGGAGGTAGCGGAGGTAGTGGGGGTGCTGTTGCGACTGGCGGTGGTGGGAGTGCAGCGTCTGGAGAGACCCCTCGTGCAGCGGCTGGTGACTCCACTGCACCTACTGGTGGCGGCGACCCTCGAGCTCGTCAGTCGCCTCCTGTACTGCCGACCCCGCTAGGTGGAGCAGCGGCGTGGTACCAGGCTCAGCGTCAGCAGCACCTTCAGCAGCAGCAGCAGCAGCCCCTTTCCTCCCAGCAGCCTCAGCAGCAGCAGCGTCAGCAGCTGGCTCCGGGGTCGGGGCTGCGTCAGCCCCAGCGCGGTGCTGCTTACCCTCCCTGCCCCTACCAGGTTCAGACAGGTCCTCGTCGGGGCCACCCTTGTGGCCGCTTTCACCCCCCTGGTCAGTGCTTTGCTCAGCTCACTGACACGGTCCGGTTGACCTACGGGGTTGGCGGTCCTGCTCCTGACTGGCTTCCTCTGGTTCAGCGCTACGGCTCCGCTCTGTGGGGCATGTCAGCTGAGCAGTTAGTTGATCTGATTAGTGCTCCTCATGCTATGTATGCTGTTGTTGACTCTAGTGTTTCTGACTCTGTTTACTCTGGTGTTGTTAGCTTAGGTGCTAGTCTTGCTCAGTTGCCTGTTGCTAGTGTAGGTACTTGTGTAGATTCTAGACCAGCGACTACCTCAGAGGACGCTTCGCTGTCGTTCACACTGGACTCTGGAGCCTCCCACTGCTTCTTTCGGGACAGCACGACACTTACACCACTTCCTGCGCCTGTTTCTGTTGCGTTGGCTGATCCCACTACGGGACCAGTCACTGCACGTCACACTACCACTTTACCGTGTCCTGCTGCTCCCTCCGGGTCTCTCACTGGGTTTCACGTCCCCTCGTTCTCCCGGAACTTGGTGGGCGTGCGACCCCTCGTGAGCCAGCACGTGGGTGTGTGGTTTGAGCCTTCTGGAGAGACTGCGGTGTGTGTTGACGGAGACTCTTACCAGCCTCTTGCTACCTTTACTGCTGAGCCGGGCTCGGGTCTCTACACTCTTCACACTGGCCCGCGTGCGCCGCAGCAGCAGCCGCAGCAGCAGCAGCACCCGCAGCCGCAGCAGCAGCAGCAGCACCAGCGGCCGCACCAGCAGCCCCCCCTACTGCTACTACCCCCAGTTCCCCCCCCCGTTCGGGTCCCCGCGTCTCACCAGGTCGCTACGTCCCCCCAGGTGTCTGTGTCGTGTCAGGTTCCTACGTCTGTTCCAGTCGCTGCGTCGTGCTCCTGCCGGTCGCTTGCCCACCCCACCGTTCTGTGGCACCACCGGATGGGGCACCCGTCCCTTCCACGTCTGCGCGCTATGTCTAGTCAGCGTCTTGTCCTAGGCCTCCCTCGTGTCTTGCCGTCGCTGCCGCCTTCGCCTGCGCCGCCGTGTCGTCCCTGCGTCGAGGGTAGGCTGCGCGCCACCCCTCACTCCTCCTCCCTTCGTCCGGCCACCGTGCCTTTTGAGACGCTTCATTTGGACGTCTGGGGCCCAGCCCCTCGTCTAGGCCCTGAGCGTGAGCGTTACTTTCTGGTGGTCGTTGACGACTTCTCCCGCTACACCACAGTGTTCCCTCTGGCGAAGAAGTCTGAGGTGACTTCTACGCTGATCAGGTGGTTGCTCACCACCGAGGACACTCGTGGTCGTCGTGTCAGCTGTCTCCACTCCGACCGTGGGGGTGAGTTTCGCTCCGGCATTCTCGCTGGATTCTGTCGCGAGCAGGGCATTCGTCAGTCCTGGACGCTTCCAGAGTCCCCACAGCAGAATGGGGTTGCTGAGCGCCGCATAGGCCTGGTCATGGAGATCGCCCGCACCTCCGTGACTCACGCCTGTGCCCCCCATTTTCTGTGGCCCTACGCGGTCAGGTACGCCGCGCACCAGCTGAACCTCTGGCCACGTGTCTCTCGACCAGAGGTTTCACCGACCAGTCTTTGGACAGGGTCCCCTGGTGTTGCGTCGCGGTTTCGTGTCTGGGGGTGCTTGGCTCTTGTCCGCGACACCTCCGCGGACAAGCTCTCGCCTCGTGCCGTCCCCTGTGTCTTCCTTGGTTTCCCTGAGGACTCCTCTGACTTCACCTTTTACCACCCTCCCTCTCACCGGTTCTTTGACTCCCGTGACGTTCGTTTCGAGGAGTCCACTCCGTACTACGTCAGGTACCCCAGTCGAGGTCTCCCGGTTCCTCCCCCCCCCCTCTTCCTGACTGCCGTTCCCCCTCCTGCTCCCCCGGTACAGCCTCCCCCCCCTGGTCCAGCCCCGTTAGGTGTGTCCCAGGCTACCCCTCCTCCTTCGGTAGCCCCTCCGGTACAGCCTCCCTCTCCACAGTCCTCCTCGCAGCGTGCCGCTGGTGCTAGCTCTCGAGAGGTTGGTACGGCGCCTGTTCCTGTACCGGTTTCTGGTTCTGGGGGTGCTGGAGTTGGAGCTGGAGTTGGAGCTGGAGTTGGCACTGGAGTTTCTGGTTCTGGGGGTGCTGGAGTTGGAGCTGGGGTTGGAGCTGGAGTTTCTGGTTCTGGAGTTGGAGCTGACCCGGTGGGTGCAGAGGACTCTTGTCGTCCGGGAGCTGGTGCTGGCCGCGCGGACACTGGGGGTGCTGCGTCTGGGGGTGAGGGTGCGCCTCCTTCGGGTTCAGGTGAGCCTGGGTCTGGAGCTGGTGTTAGTGCTGCCTCTAGGGGTGGTGCGCCTAGTTCTTCTGGGGTGGACTCTGGAGCTGCCGCTGCTTCGGACACTACTCCACCCCCCCACCCCTACCCGACTAGGCACCAGGCTCGTGTTCGCCGTGCCCGTGACGAGCAGCTGGCGTTGGAGAGAGAGGAGAGGGAGTTACAGCGGCTGGAGGAGCAGCAGCAGCAGCTGGAGCCGCAGGAGCAGCAGCAGCAGCAGCAGCAGCTGGACCCGCAGGAGCAGCAGTTCCAGCAGCAGCCGCGTCCGCAGCAGCAGCAGTCGCAGCCGCAGCAGCAGCAGCCACTTCCTCCTCCTGTCTCGGGTCTTCGGATCCTTGGTCTCCCCTCCCCTTCTCCTCCCTCCTCCGCCTCTCCTCCTGTCTACGGTCCCACGTTTCCTCCTCCTGACTCCTCCCCCGCTGTTTTCCCCAGTTCTCCGCCCTTGTCCTCTTCTCCTCCGTCTCGTTCTTGGGCTACTCGTCGCTCCCCTCGTGCTCGTCCCTCGTCTCCTGTTCCCTTCACTGACCTTCGTACTGCCTTCCTTCTTTCTAGTCCACCTCGTCCGTCTCAGTCTGTGCTTCCGTCTCCTCCTGAGTCGGCCCTCACTGTGTCGCTCCCTACTCCTGTCACTGACTACTACCGCACGTACCGTCCTGTTCTCTCTCGTGTTCTCGCCTCTCTTGTTACTCACCCTCGTGCCTCTGTGCCCTCTGTGTCCGCTCTTACTGCCGCAGTTACTGACTTTGCCTCTACCCGCCGCCTTGACTACGCCACCACGCTTGTGGCTGCTCCTCCTACCAGTCCTCTGGCCATCGGGGGTGTGTCTGCCCTTGGCTGTGACGCCCTAGAGGACAGGCAGTTTGAGCTAGAGTTCCTGGCGGCCGCTTCCCCTCATCTCTGTGCCATGCTCCTCGCCCCTGAGGGTGACCCCGACGCCCTTGACATTCCGACTCCTCGCACTTACGCTGAGGCAGTGTCAGGGCCTTGGGCCTCTCAGTGGAGAGCTGCCATGGACGCAGAGATGGCCTCCTACAGATCCACAGGCACCTACGTCGATGAGGTTCCCCCCCCTGGGGCGAACGTAGTCGACGGCATGTGGATCTACAGGGTGAAGCGGCCACCGGGATCTCCCCCGGTCTTCAAGGCGCGCTACGTGGCTAGAGGTTTCAGTCAGCGCGAGGGAGTTGACTTCTTTCAGACCTTCGCACCTACCCCAAAGATGACCACTATTCGGGTGTTACTACACGTAGCAGCACAGAGAGACTACGAGTTACACTCTCTTGACTTCTCCACTGCTTTCCTTCAGGGCAGCCTACATGAGGAGGTCTGGTTGCGTCGTCCCTCGGCCTTCACTGGCACCTTCCCTCCTGGGACCCAGTGGAGGCTGAGGCGACCTGTTTACGGTCTTCGCCAGGCCCCTCGTGAGTGGCACGACACTCTGCGTTCTACCCTCTCTGACCTTGGGTTCCAGCCGTCTTCTGCCGACCCGTCGCTGTTCGTTCGTCGTGGCTCCACACCGTTCTTTGTTCTGGTTTACGTAGACGACCTCGTTTTCGCCACTCCGGACAGGGTTGCTTTGGCAGACGTGAAGTCTGAACTGCAGAAGAGACACACGTGCACTGATCTTGGTGAGCTGCGCCACTACCTTGGCCTGCAGATCACCAGGGACAGAGCCGCTCGCACCATTACACTCTCACAGTCACACATGGTGCAGCAGGTCCTTCAGCGGTTCGGGCTTCAGCACTCCACCGTACAGCGCACACCTCTAGCTGTTGACCACAGACTCACTGGTCCCTTTCCTGACGAGCCGTTTGAGCCTAGTGGTCCCTACGCAGAGCTTGTGGGTTGCCTCATGTACCTGATGACTTGTACTCGCCCGGACCTCGCCTTCCCTCTCAGCATCCTTGCGCGCTTTGTTGCGCCAGGGAGACACCGTCCTGTTCACTGGACGGCAGCTGTGAGGGTGGCGAAGTACCTAGCGACTACATCAGGCGTGGGGCTAGTTCTTGGAGGGCAGCAGTCTGTCGTACTCACTGGTCACTGTGACTCCTCTTACGCTGACGACGCTGAGACTCACTGGTCTACTCAGGGGTACTGTTTCAGTCTGGGTTCTGGAGCTGTTTCCTGGCGTTCCACGCGCTCCTCTTCTGTCTCGACCTCTACAGCTGAGGCTGAGATTTACGCTGGTGCCATGGCGGCACAGGAGTTGCGGTGGTTGACCTTCTTGCTCGCTGACCTTGGTGAGCGGCCGAGCTCTGCACCGACCTTGTTTACTGACAACAAGGCGTCGATCCTCCTCTGTCGTGAGCCGCGACTGGAGAGCAGAGTGAAGCACATTCACGTCAGGTACTTTCTTCTGCGAGAGTTGCAGAGGCGTGGACAGGCTCGCTTCGAGTTTGTAGAGTCCGAGGCCAACACTGCAGACATCTTCACCAAGGCGCTTCCGCCTTGTGACCACCAGAGGTGTTGTGTGCAGTTAGGCCTTGTTGACACATGTTCTAGTCATGCGTAGACTTGAGTTTATTGCCTGCTTCGTCTGTACATTTACTATATATACTTGTGATCTCTTGGACTGGCCTTGTGGCCACTGTTGCTTGTGCTCAGAGTGTGTGGTGACGTTGTGATCCACCCTGAGCTTTGTTTTCTTTTGGACTGGTCTTGTGACCGTACTCTTTTTTTGTTTTTGCTAGACACCCCTCACTTAGGCTATGGGGGTGTGTCAAATGTTGTAGCCTGTAGTGAGGTTTGTCTTAGGGGGTACAGAAGTTAGGGTTTGACATATGTACCCCAACCAACATCAATGCAACATTCATTCCTCATTCTGACACAAGGGGACACGTGGGCAGAGCACATCCCTGCTATTAGTGCTCACACAGGGAGAAAGGCTGCACAAAGAGCTCATCATTCCCAGCTGAACAGCAACCTCCCAGCTGAACAGCAACCTCCTAACAGCTGATTCATTATACCATATACGACAGCTGTCTTATAATATTTACTTTCCACCATCAGTGCTCGCAGAGCGAGAAGGGCCGTTCAAACAACTCCTCATTGGCCAGCTGAACCAGCGCCTTCCTCTCTTCCATCAGAGCCTCCCGGTACTTCTTTGCTTCTTCCATCGTCATCGCTGCACCCCTGCCATCCCTGCTCTCTCTCCCCACACCCTGCCCCTCGCCTCCATCCTCTCCCTCATCAACCCTACCCTCCTCCCCACCTCGCTCCACACCACTTCTTTCTCCCTTACCCTCTTCCCCATGCTCTCCCCCACTCACTCCCTCTGCAATCAGATCTAGAGCTAACCCAGGCAGGACCGAGCACGGGTGGCCTTTTCTCTCCAGCTCCCTCCTCTGCCAGCTCAGCTGCTGAGGTGGCACGCGTGCAGTGGATACGATTGCCACCCGCGGATCCACCAGGAAAAATACAAGAATCTTCCGGTGGCCGGCACGGGTTTTGTCCTGTAGCTCGAACGGTGCAACCCGGTGGTGGAAGTGGTTCGGGAAGGCGAGGCAGAGGTTCGGGATGTCAGTCCGGACCGAGCCTAGAGGTTGCGTGAGAGGTCCGTCGTCCACCAGGCCGTATATCCGAGCCACCCCTTTGTTGTCGTTCTGGTCGTAGTCTGGTTCGGCAACGGTGATCCTGAATTGAAGGCGCAACTCGGTGATGTTGTGAGAGTCGAAATAGTAAATGCCTGTGGCCTGGGGGACGGAAAGATGGGGAAGGGAAGGGGAAGGGAAAAATGGGAGTGGAGGGGATGATATAGAGGTGTTATCGCATGCTTTGTTGTCGTTCTGATCGTAGTCTGGTTCGGGAATGGTGATTCTAAACTGAAGGCGCGGCTCGGTGATGTTGTGAGAGTTAAAGTAATAGATTCCCGTGGCCTGGGGGACGGGAAAACGGGAGGGAGAACGGGATAGGGAGGGGGAAACGAGGAGGGAAAACGGGATGGGAGGGGGGAAATGGGGAGGGGAAGGGGGAAAGGAGAAGGGGAAGGGAAAAATGGGAGTGGAGGGGAGGATATAGAGGTGTTATGGCATGCTTTTGGTGTCGTTCTGATCATAGTCTGGTTCGGAAAAAGTGATCCTGAACTGAAAGTGCGACTCCGTGAGGTTGTGAGAGTCAAAGTAGTATATGCACGTGGCCTGGGGGAAGGGGAATGGGGAGGGAAAACGGGATAGGGTGGGGGAACGGACGCGGAAGGGGAAAAAGGGGACGAGAATGGGAAAATGGGAGGGAAGGGAGGGTGTGATCTGAGAGAGGGATATGGGGGAAAAACAATATCAGTGGAAATCGGTCCAATATATTCCTATCGGTACATCTATACACAACCCTCCCCTTCCCTCCCCTCCCCTCTCCTCCCATCCAATCCCCTCCCCCTCACTTACCGCCTCGTATCCACTCACCACAATATGCTCATTCCTCATGCCCTCCACATGCCAAGTACCCCCAGGTTATCTCGGGCTTTCAGGGGTAAGTCGAATGCTCGCCACCTTCACCACCACCTGCACTCGTCGCTCCCTCACCTCCACCACAGCTCACTCCTTTCCATCCCTCACACCCTCTATCCCTTCACTCACCACAGTATGCTCATTCCTCATGCCCTCCACATGCCAAGTACCCCCAGGTTATCTCGGGCTCTCAGGGGTCAGCTGAATGCTCGCCACCTTCACTACCACCTGCGCCCACTCCTTCCCATCCCTCACAACCGCAAAAGCTCACCACAATATGCTCATTCCGCATGCCCTCCACATGCCAAGTACCCCCAGGTTATCTCGGGCTCTCAGGGGTGAGTTGCATGCTCGCCACCTTCACCACCACCTGCGCCCACTCCTTCCCATCCCTCACAACCGCAAGAGCTCACCACAATATGCTCATTCCGCATGCCCTCCACATGCCAAGTACCCCCAGGATACTTCGGGCTGTCAGGGGTCAGCTGAATGCTTGCCACCTTCACCACCACCTGCAGTCGCCGCCCTTTCAGGTCCACCACGTGCCCGGGGGAGGGAGGCTGTGGGGGGGAGAACTCTGCAGGGGTGTCTGGCTGCTTGGGCTGCCGGTCCACCAGCCACTGGTGGTAGTCGTCGTCGTCGTCCTTGTCGTATTCTCTCTCGCCCTTCCACTCATCGTACCACCTGGTACAGGAGTGGGAAACAGACGGTAATGGATAGAGGCACAGTGGGAACAGACGGTAATGGACAGAGGCACAGTGGGAACAGGCTCGGCTAGGGCGGCGCGGCTCGGTCGGGTCGCGCGGCTCAGTCGGGTCGCGCGGTTCGGCTCGGTCCTAGAGAGGCGAGCGCGGGGCCGGGTGGGGCTGTTAAGGGAGAGCGCGGGGCCGTCCAGGGCGAGGGCGAGGCCGGTTGGGGGCCGTTCGGGGCTAGCACGGGGCCGTTCGGGGGCCGTGAGAGGCTAGCGCGGGGCCGACGGGGGCCTTAGAGGGCTAGCGCGGGGCCGAGGGGGGGGGCGTGAGAGGCTAGCGCGGGGCCGACGGTGGCCTGAGAGGGCTAGCGCGGGGCCAAGGGGGCCGTGAGAGGCTAGCGCGGGGGGCCGTACGGGGCCATTCGGGGCTAGCGCGGGGCCGTTCGGGGGCCTTGAGAGGCTAGTGCGGGGCCGACGGGGGCCTTAGGGGGCTAGCGCGGGGCTAGCGCGGGGCCGACGGGTCCTTAGGGGGCTAGCGCGGGGCCGCACGGGGCCTTGAGAGGCTAGCGCGGGGCCGTAAGGGGCCTTAAGGGGGGCGACGCGAGGGGCCGTGAGGGGCCTTAAGGGGCGACGCGAGAGGGCCTTAGGGGGCCTGAAGAACAAGGCGCTTGAGGCGCAGGAAAAGGCGGCGCACGATGGCGCGGCTAGCGGAAACGGTGGGCCCTATCGTTTCGGTCCTAGGTGAAACCTAGGCTCGTAATACCATGTCAGAATGAGAATGAATCACTAGAATGAGGGTTGGGTACAAATAGGTCAAACCTAACCCTAGAAATGTGTACCCACTATAGGCTAACCCACTGTAGCCTAAACAACCACAACATACAATGTTTGACAAAATCCTCAGCCCAACATACAGTAACAGAATGGTTGATTATACGTGGAGGTTGAGAGCGATTCTCCTCAGTGATGGAGGTTGAGAGAGATTCTCCTCAGTGATGGAGGTTGAGAGCGATTCTGTAGGAAACATAATGGTTGACTATATGTGGAGCAATCGTATTGTAATGTTTCTCATTGGATACATTTCGAAGAAATAACTAGCTTGTAGCTTGGTTTATATAAACATCAACAGGGCAAATTTTTGGATTTGACTTACCCTTGCGATCAGTGTAGCACAAGCTCAAAAACCTGATTATCAGTGTGACCCCTTATAAAAAACCTTTTCCATCAGGGTTTTCCGCAATGTTGTAAAATCTACCCTGTCGCATCAGTGTTCTTAAATAACAAACCCTGGTCAATGGTGGCCCACTGTGTGCCAGCACATGCGTTGTCAAGGCCAAAATTCCGGCTTCGACATTTGGCAATCGGGAATCCCGGGTTACAGGAAAGGGGGGGTGGGGGTACTTGGGGGTGGGGGGGGTAGGGTACTCGTTTAAGGGTAAAACTCGTTATGGGATTCGGGGACCCCCAGTTATCAGTGTGCCTTAAATGTAAACCCTGGCATATCACGGAGAACCTAGCTCCTAAAAAAATTACCCGGGGCCATCAGTGTGACTACCAGAAACCACCCTGATTATCAGGGTATCAGGGTGATTTACCCTGGTAAAATTTCCCCTGAACATCAACCATTGCAACTGCATGTACGGTATTCAAGCATACGGTACAACTCGATAAAACCATTCACACATCCACCCAAAACTCCCAATGAACTTGACTACACAACACATCAAGCGAAATCCCCAGTAAGATACTCCTTTTGTCGTCCTTCATCTCATGCTGCGGCTGCAGCATTGAGCAGAGCATCGTTCGCATCCTGGCTCATCGCCCAGAAGAACCACCCTCCATAGCCTTGCGCCTTGGCAAATTGAACCTTGGTGGTGATGGTGGAAGGGTCGTCGTAACCAACCCACTGGTCACCATTTACCGCATACATAGAGGATGTTGGGGCGTCGAGCGTAGCTGTGTAACCTCCAGATGTTACCAGCTCATCAATTTCCCTGTAAAAGAGAACACCAGCTTCCTGTTGGAGGGGTAGAGAGGGAAAATGCAGGCCAAGGAAGAGGGTGATGAGAGCCTGCTTGGAGCTGATTGCTTAGACTCAGGGAAAAGGGAATAAGTTGTATTCTGAAAGTGCAAGAGGAAGGAAAAAGTGAAAGTGAAAGAAAAAAAAAAGCCGCAAAAGGCTGTGATCATGTGAGAGAGGGAGAGAAGCGTGCTGCGTAGAAGAAACAGGAAAGGGAAGAGCTCACCTGACTGATAGACCCAGGCTGACCAGGCCCAGTGGCTGCAGCTCCAACCCCAGTACTGCTTGTCGAGGCTAGAGTCCAGGTTCGACCGTACATCGCCAAGCCTAGCATGGCCTTGCTTGGGGCCAAGCCTCGGGACACCCAGGCAGCCATAGCACCCTTGAGGCTCAGCTGGGGGTTGCTCAGATCCTCCAGAGCAGTGTGCATGCCGGTGATTAACTCCCATGAACCATGCAGATCGTACGTCATAACATTTACAAAGTCCAGCGCACTGTTGAGTGTCGGGACGTCGTAGGATTCAGCGATTGTCGGCTCGTATGCAGAAACTGCTGCAGAGAGCAGGAGCATGGGGTTTCCAGACGAAGCGGCTTCGGATTCGATCGCCGCCCGGAAATCCGTGACCAGGGCGGAAAAGAGGGCGGCGTTGCCCGTTGGGAACTCCCAGTCGAGATCCAGACCGTCGAAATTGTACGATCGGGCGAGGATGATCGCGGATTGGATGAAAGCAGAGCGGGAGGAGGGGGACGAGGCGGCGTTGACGAAAGCGGTGGTGCCTGCGGAATAGCCGCCGATGGAGAGGAGGGTCTTGATGGCGGGGTTGGTATCTTTCAGGGCGGAGTTGAAGCGGAGATAGAGACCCTCGGTAACGTCCACTGCTGGGTTGGAAGGGACGACCTGTGTGGGGGGGAAGAAGGTGATGGGTTAGAGGCTAGCGGCTTTCAGAACGGAGTTGAAGCGCAAGTAGAGGCCCTGGGTCATGTCCACAGCAAGGTTGGAGGGGACGACCTGTGATGGGAGAGAGAAAAGGGGCTGAATTTCAGGTGATGAAAGGGTTAAAGTTGCAGAGGGCAAGGTGGGCCCTGGTGTGAAGTTGAGGCATCGGTCTGAGATGGCAGCGGCAATGGAGGAGGAATTTCCAAATACCTGCACCAAATGGAACGGAAAAGTGGGAATGGCAAGACAGTACCGTACCTTGTATGAGGTGGCGTCACGTCAATGGAAGCAAAGGCGTAGAAGACATGGGTGAGCGTGGCAGCAGGGACGACGGATGGGTCCATGCCCGCCCATTTGACAAAATACGCCATGCGCTTCATCCCCCCCGAATGGGGGAAAGGGTTCCGTTGGGGGGCGGAGGGGGGAAGGGGTGCGCTTCACACGCCTCCTGTACCTTGTGAATGGTGCCGTACCTGGTATGTGCTGGCGTCAATGGAAGCAAAGGCGTAGAACACATGGGTGAGCGAGGCAGCAGGGATGAGCGATGGGTCCATGCCCGCCCAGTTGACGAAATACGCCATGCGCTTCAGCTCAGTAGGGGGCGGAGGGGAGTCGGTTGAGGGCGGAGGGGGAGAGGAGGCGGAGGGGGAGCACTGGGATTGGCAGCCAGAGCCGCAGTAATCGGGGGTGGAGCCACACCATCCCCACTCGCTGCAGCAGAGGTTGTCGGCGCAAAGAGTTGTGGCGGAGCATTGCTGCGCGCGCGCGCGGAGGGGGAGGTGCGCGGACGAGAGCAGCAGCAGCGCGAGCAGGAGGAAGAGGAGGAGCGGAGACCGCGGCGAGGGCAGTGGTACTATGATCGCCATGATTGTTGGGGTTGAGCAGCAGACTCGCAAGGCTTTTGATTATTAGGAGAAGGGAGCGGTGAGTTACAATGGGGAAGTTGCAATGGGGAGACTGGTTCGAGTGGTGGTGACTTGTGAGACGTGATGGGGCAAGGCTGTGTTATATACTCTGATGGGAGAGCGAATGGAGAGAGGAGCGGATGGGTTTGACGGGGAATGTATAGGGATGGCGTTATCCATGGCCAATGCGGTGTAGAGCTATCGGCGATTCGGACCCCTGCCGACGCAAAGGGTTACGGGAATCCGAGTGACTCGGATGGAATTCGCTCCTCTGACCGCAATCGCGACTCGTCGCATCAGCGATTTGGATTCGGAATGCGGCTGCGGTACGTCGGTGACTTGGTATGAAAAAAGAAAGAAAGGAAAAGTGCACACGACGGCTATGGCTGCGACACCCGCGCGCCGCGTGTGTGTAAAAAGGGCTGAAATTACTACACACGTGCCGCCGACGATAGGATTCCTTCGCGGAAACACCCATGACCCGTGCCGACGTCGCGACTCAAAACGCGACAGCTATTTACGACACAATTATTGCTGCAAGGAAGAACACCGCCGTCAATAACGCCGACCTTTCTCGCACAGACATTCCGGACAATGATCCCTCGGACTTCAGTCTGAAGATTCTAGCTAATGCGATTGGTCCGAGTTTGAGTGTTCGAGTGTCGAAACTATGTACGCACACCCTGAATGCCTTACCGTGAATGCCACGGGACTGGATCATGGAGTTGAGGGAGAAGAGGAGAGGGCTGTCTTGTCGGTCGACCAAACCCAAGTCGACACTATCAAGGGTGTTTCTAGGGACCTCGCAACTTATGTTCCAACATCTCGGTTGAGAACGATCCCGAGGAAATCCGAACGGTTAGTGCCACAAGTATTGGGACTTGTTCACTTTCGTTCGGTAGTATCGGTTGAGAAAGATTCTGTGGAGATTCGAAGGGTCATTCGTTTGAGATAAATAAATCTAACAGCACATTCATTCCTCTCACAGGATATAAAATTGTAGGAGTACGTTAGACCTGCAAATACATGAAAATATAGGTTTATGTTGAAATTCTCTTGAACACAAGGGTGTGTGCTATGTGATGTATTGTACAGACGCGCAGCGTAAATATCTATTCTGTAGTGTGCTGCTGATATCATGAGAATTTCTCCCCCTGTAGCTGAAGGTCTAGATCACTCTCTCCTAGAGCCCTGATGCTGGTGTTAGACAGGGGGGCAGGGGGGGCATGCGAGGAGGGACAAAAGGGCACATACAGAGGGGAAGGAAAGTAAGACATCAGAAGCAAGGTGTCAAATGTTGTAGCCTGTAGTGAGGTTTGTCTTAGGGGGTACAGAAGTTAGGGTTTGACATATGTACCTCAACCAACATCAATGCAACATTCATTCCTCATTCTGACATGATATCAGCTAGGTTAGGATCCTGTGGGATCCCGTTCCTCCGTTCTCCGTTCGTACCTCCCGAGCCTGATCCTACCTCTCGTTCGTACCAGTTTCGTAGTTACCGCGCCTAGTACCGAGCCTAGCGCCATCTCCCCCGTCGCGTCACGCCTGTTCCCCCCCGTCGCGTCGCGCCCGTTCCCCCCGTCGCGTCGCGCCCGTTCCCCCCGTCGCGTCGCGCCTGTTCCCCCCGTCGCGTCGCGCCCGTTCCCCCCGTCGCGTCGCGCCCGTTCCCCCTGTCGCGTCGCGCCCGTTCCCCCCCGTCGCGTCGCGCCCGTTCCCCCCGTCGCGTCGCGCCCGCCTGTTACCCCCCCCGTCCCGTCGCCCTGTCCCGTCGCGTCGCCCTGTCCCGTCGCGTCGCCCTGCCCTGTCCCGTCGCGTCGCCCTGCCCTGTCCCGTCGCCCTGTCCCGTCGCGTCGCCCTACCCCGTCGCGTCGCCCTGCCCTGTCCCGTCGCCCTGCTCCGTCGCGCCGCCCTGCCCCGTCGCGTCGCCCTGTCCCGTCGCGTCGCCCTGCCCCGTCGCGTCGCTCCCGCCCTTTCCCCCGTTGCGTCGCCCTCCCTAGGCCCTGGCCTGTCGCCCTTCCTAGGCCCTGGCCCGTCGCCCTCCCTAGGCCCTGGCCCGTCGCCCTCCCTAGGCTCTGGCCCGTCGCCCTACCCTAGGCCCTGGCCCGTTGCCCTACCCTACGTCTTGGCCCGTCGTCCTAGCCCGCTCTTCCGCTGCGACTGAGTCCTCTTCCCCCCCCGGTTGTTACTCGCCTGTTCGTTCGCGTTCGTTCTCACTATGGCGACTCCGCGAGTTCTTCGTTTCGACGCCGACGGTAGACCCCTTGACTTTTCCGTCTAACTTCTTCGCGCTCGTCGTCTGTTAGAGAGTCAGGTCCAGGGGGGCGAGACCCTCTGGTCACACGCTACTGGTGACCTCCCCGAGCCCCCCGAGCCTACAGCTTTAGGCCCTGCTCCTGACGACGCTGCTACGGCTCGCTTTGCCCGTCAGCGCGCTGACCGGACGGCTTGGACGTCGCGTGACGCTGCGGCCTGCATCGCACTCAGCAGCCTCCTCCCTGAGTCCGAGGAGGTCCACTTTACTCAGGTTCGCACCGCTGCTGCGTACCTCACTGCGATTAAGGCCCGCTACTCTACTCCCGCTACTGTCTCTCTCGGCCGTCTTTTCCTCCCGTTCCTGTTTCCTGATCTTGCCTCGTTTGAGCGCTCTGCTGACTTGATCGCTCACCTCCGCTCGCTCGACACTAGTTACCGCGCTGCTTGCACTGAGGCACAGCTTGCACTGCTTCCTCCCCCCATGGCGATTACTGTCTATTTCATCGCCACTAGCCTCCCTGACCGCCTTGCCTCCGTTCGTGACGCGCTTCTGCTGAAGCACCCTAGTGAGCTGACTATCGAGGTCCTTGAGTCTGCACTCAAGGACGTCGAGAGCAACCTTCGTTCGGTAGCTGCCGCCTCTGGTACTGTGTCCCCCCCACTCTTCCACGGGTGCACAGTCCCGCAGTTACCCACCTTCACTGCCTCTCTTGCCACTGCCGCTACTGACGCGACTGCGGCTGCTGTTACGACTGCGTCGCGGTCCCGCGGCAGGGGGGGCAAGAAAGGTGGTTCCGGTGGAGGTGGAGGCGGAGGTAGCGGAGGTAGTGGGGGTGCTGTTGCGACTGGCGGTGGTGGGAGTGCAGCGTCTGGAGAGACCCCTCGTGCAGCGGCTGGTGACTCCACTGCACCTACTGGTGGCGGCGACCCTCGAGCTCGTCAGTCGCCTCCTGTACTGCCGACCCCGCTAGGTGGAGCAGCGGCGTGGTACCAGGCTCAGCGTCAGCAGCACCTTCAGCAGCAGCAGCAGCAGCCCCTTTCCTCCCAGCAGCCTCAGCAGCAGCAGCGTCAGCAGCTGGCTCCGGGGTCGGGGCTGCGTCAGCCCCAGCGCGGTGCTGCTTACCCTCCCTGCCCCTACCAGGTTCAGACAGGTCCTCGTCGGGGCCACCCTTGTGGCCGCTTTCACCCCCCTGGTCAGTGCTTTGCTCAGCTCACTGACACGGTCCGGTTGACCTACGGGGTTGGCGGTCCTGCTCCTGACTGGCTTCCTCTGGTTCAGCGCTACGGCTCCGCTCTGTGGGGCATGTCAGCTGAGCAGTTAGTTGATCTGATTAGTGCTCCTCATGCTATGTATGCTGTTGTTGACTCTAGTGTTTCTGACTCTGTTTACTCTGGTGTTGTTAGCTTAGGTGCTAGTCTTGCTCAGTTGCCTGTTGCTAGTGTAGGTACTTGTGTAGATTCTAGACCAGCGACTACCTCAGAGGACGCTTCGCTGTCGTTCACACTGGACTCTGGAGCCTCCCACTGCTTCTTTCGGGACAGCACGACACTTACACCACTTCCTGCGCCTGTTTCTGTTGCGTTGGCTGATCCCACTACGGGACCAGTCACTGCACGTCACACTACCACTTTACCGTGTCCTGCTGCTCCCTCCGGGTCTCTCACTGGGTTTCACGTCCCCTCGTTCTCCCGGAACTTGGTGGGCGTGCGACCCCTCGTGAGCCAGCACGTGGGTGTGTGGTTTGAGCCTTCTGGAGAGACTGCGGTGTGTGTTGACGGAGACTCTTACCAGCCTCTTGCTACCTTTACTGCTGAGCCGGGCTCGGGTCTCTACACTCTTCACACTGGCCCGCGTGCGCCGCAGCAGCAGCCGCAGCAGCAGCAGCAGCCGCAGCCGCAGCAGCAGCAGCAGCACCAGCGGCCGCACCAGCAGCCCCCCCTACTGCTACTACCCCCAGTTCCCCCCCCCGTTCGGGTCCCCGCGTCTCACCAGGTCGCTACGTCCCCCCAGGTGTCTGTGTCGTGTCAGGTTCCTACGTCTGTTCCAGTCGCTGCGTCGTGCTCCTGCCGGTCGCTTGCCCACCCCACCGTTCTGTGGCACCACCGGATGGGGCACCCGTCCCTTCCACGTCTGCGCGCTATGTCTAGTCAGCGTCTTGTCCTAGGCCTCCCTCGTGTCTTGCCGTCGCTGCCGCCTTCGCCTGCGCCGCCGTGTCGTCCCTGCGTCGAGGGTAGGCTGCGCGCCACCCCTCACTCCTCCTCCCTTCGTCCGGCCACCGTGCCTTTTGAGACGCTTCACTTGGACGTCTGGGGCCCAGCCCCTCGTCTAGGCCCTGAGCGTGAGCGTTACTTTCTGGTGGTCGTTGACGACTTCTCCCGCTACACCACAGTGTTCCCTCTGGCGAAGAAGTCTGAGGTGACTTCTACGCTGATCAGGTGGTTGCTCACCACCGAGGACACTCGTGGTCGTCGTGTCAGCTGTCTCCACTCCGACCGTGGGGGTGAGTTTCGCTCCGGCATTCTCGCTGGATTCTGTCGCGAGCAGGGCATTCGTCAGTCCTGGACGCTTCCAGAGTCCCCACAGCAGAATGGGGTTGCTGAGCGCCGCATAGGCCTGGTCATGGAGATCGCCCGCACCTCCGTGACTCACGCCTGTGCCCCCCATTTTCTGTGGCCCTACGCGGTCAGGTACGCCGCGCACCAGCTGAACCTCTGGCCACGTGTCTCTCGACCAGAGGTTTCACCGACCAGTCTTTGGACAGGGTCCCCTGGTGTTGCGTCGCGGTTTCGTGTCTGGGGGTGCTTGGCTCTTGTCCGCGACACCTCCGCGGACAAGCTCTCGCCTCGTGCCGTCCCCTGTGTCTTCCTTGGTTTCCCTGAGGACTCCTCTGACTTCACCTTTTACCACCCTCCCTCTCACCGGTTCTTTGACTCCCGTGACGTTCGTTTCGAGGAGTCCACTCCGTACTACGTCAGGTACCCCAGTCGAGGTCTCCCGGTTCCTCCCCCCCCCCTCTTCCTGACTGCCGTTCCCCCTCCTGCTCCCCCGGTACAGCCTCCCCCCCCTGGTCCAGCCCCGTTAGGTGTGTCCCAGGCTACCCCTCCTCCTTCGGTAGCCCCTCCGGTACAGCCTCCCTCTCCACAGTCCTCCTCGCAGCGTGCCGCTGGTGCTAGCTCTCGAGAGGTTGGTACGGCGCCTGTTCCTGTACCGGTTTCTGGTTCTGGGGGTGCTGGAGTTGGAGCTGGAGTTGGAGCTGGAGTTGGCACTGGAGTTTCTGGTTCTGGGGGTGCTGGAGTTGGAGCTGGGGTTGGAGCTGGAGTTTCTGGTTCTGGAGTTGGAGCTGACCCGGTGGGTGCAGAGGACTCTTGTCGTCCGGGAGCTGGTGCTGGCCGCGCGGACACTGGGGGTGCTGCGTCTGGGGGTGAGGGTGCGCCTCCTTCGGGTTCAGGTGAGCCTGGGTCTGGAGCTGGTGTTAGTGCTGCCTCTAGGGGTGGTGCGCCTAGTTCTTCTGGGGTGGACTCTGGAGCTGCCGCTGCTTCGGACACTACTCCACCCCCCCACCCCTACCCGACTAGGCACCAGGCTCGTGTTCGCCGTGCCCGTGACGAGCAGCTGGCGTTGGAGAGAGAGGAGAGGGAGTTACAGCGGCTGGAGGAGCAGCAGCAGCAGCTGGAGCCGCAGGAGCAGCAGCAGCAGCAGCAGCAGCTGGACCCGCAGGAGCAGCAGTTCCAGCAGCAGCCGCGTCCGCAGCAGCAGCAGTCGCAGCCGCAGCAGCAGCAGCCACTTCCTCCTCCTGTCTCGGGTCTTCGGATCCTTGGTCTCCCCTCCCCTTCTCCTCCCTCCTCCGCCTCTCCTCCTGTCTACGGTCCCACGTTTCCTCCTCCTGACTCCTCCCCCGCTGTTTTCCCCAGTTCTCCGCCCTTGTCCTCTTCTCCTCCGTCTCGTTCTTGGGCTACTCGTCGCTCCCCTCGTGCTCGTCCCTCGTCTCCTGTTCCCTTCACTGACCTTCGTACTGCCTTCCTTCTTTCTAGTCCACCTCGTCCGTCTCAGTCTGTGCTTCCGTCTCCTCCTGAGTCGGCCCTCACTGTGTCGCTCCCTACTCCTGTCACTGACTACTACCGCACGTACCGTCCTGTTCTCTCTCGTGTTCTCGCCTCTCTTGTTACTCACCCTCGTGCCTCTGTGCCCTCTGTGTCCGCTCTTACTGCCGCAGTTACTGACTTTGCCTCTACCCGCCGCCTTGACTACGCCACCACGCTTGTGGCTGCTCCTCCTACCAGTCCTCTGGCCGTCGGGGGTGTGTCTGCCCTTGGCTGTGACGCCCTAGAGGACAGGCAGTTTGAGCTAGAGTTCCTGGCGGCCGCTTCCCCTCATCTCTGTGCCATGCTCCTCGCCCCTGAGGGTGACCCCGACGCCCTTGACATTCCGACTCCTCGCACTTACGCTGAGGCAGTGTCAGGGCCTTGGGCCTCTCAGTGGAGAGCTGCCATGGACGCAGAGATGGCCTCCTACAGATCCACAGGCACCTACGTCGATGAGGTTCCCCCCCCTGGGGCGAACGTAGTCGACGGCATGTGGATCTACAGGGTGAAGCGGCCACCGGGATCTCCCCCGGTCTTCAAGGCGCGCTACGTGGCTAGAGGTTTCAGTCAGCGCGAGGGAGTTGACTTCTTTCAGACCTTCGCACCTACCCCAAAGATGACCACTCTTCGGGTGTTACTACACGTAGCAGCACAGAGAGACTACGAGTTACACTCTCTTGACTTCTCCACTGCTTTCCTTCAGGGCAGCCTACATGAGGAGGTCTGGTTGCGTCGTCCCTCGGCCTTCACTGGCACCTTCCCTCCTGGGACCCAGTGGAGGCTGAGGCGACCTGTTTACGGTCTTCGCCAGGCCCCTCGTGAGTGGCACGACACTCTGCGTTCTACCCTCTCTGACCTTGGGTTCCAGCCGTCTTCTGCCGACCCGTCGCTGTTCGTTCGTCGTGGCTCCACACCGTTCTTTGTTCTGGTTTACGTAGACGACCTCGTTTTCGCCACTCCGGACAGGGTTGCTTTGGCAGACGTGAAGTCTGAACTGCAGAAGAGACACACGTGCACTGATCTTGGTGAGCTGCGCCACTACCTTGGCCTGCAGATCACCAGGGACAGAGCCGCTCGCACCATTACACTCTCACAGTCACACATGGTGCAGCAGGTCCTTCAGCGGTTCGGGCTTCAGCACTCCACCGTACAGCGCACACCTCTAGCTGTTGACCACAGACTCACTGGTCCCTTTCCTGACGAGCCGTTTGAGCCTAGTGGTCCCTACGCAGAGCTTGTGGGTTGCCTCATGTACCTGATGACTTGTACTCGCCCGGACCTCGCCTTCCCTCTCAGCATCCTTGCGCGCTTTGTTGCGCCAGGGAGACACCGTCCTGTTCACTGGACGGCAGCTGTGAGGGTGGCGAAGTACCTAGCGACTACATCAGGCGTGGGGCTAGTTCTTGGAGGGCAGCAGTCTGTCGTACTCACTGGTCACTGTGACTCCTCTTACGCTGACGACGCTGAGACTCACTGGTCTACTCAGGGGTACTGTTTCAGTCTGGGTTCTGGAGCTGTTTCCTGGCGTTCCACGCGCTCCTCTTCTGTCTCGACCTCTACAGCTGAGGCTGAGATTTACGCTGGTGCCATGGCGGCACAGGAGTTGCGGTGGTTGACCTTCTTGCTCGCTGACCTTGGTGAGCGGCCGAGCTCTGCACCGACCTTGTTTACTGACAACAAGGCGTCGATCCTCCTCTGTCGTGAGCCGCGACTGGAGAGCAGAGTGAAGCACATTCACGTCAGGTACTTTCTTCTGCGAGAGTTGCAGAGGCGTGGACAGGCTCGCTTCGAGTTTGTAGAGTCCGAGGCCAACACTGCAGACATCTTCACCAAGGCGCTTCCGCCTTGTGACCACCAGAGGTGTTGTGTGCAGTTAGGCCTTGTTGACACATGTTCTAGTCATGCGTAGACTTGAGTTTATTGCCTGCTTCGTCTGTACATTTACTATATATACTTGTGATCTCTTGGACTGGCCTTGTGGCCACTGTTGCTTGTGCTCAGAGTGTGTGGTGACGTTGTGATCCACCCTGAGCTTTGTTTTCTTTTGGACTGGTCTTGTGACCGTACTCTTTTTTTGTTTTTGCTAGACACCCCTCACTTAGGCTATGGGGGTGTGTCAAATGTTGTAGCCTGTAGTGAGGTTTGTCTTAGGGGGTACAGAAGTTAGGGTTTGACATATGTACCCCAACCAACATCAATGCAACATTCATTCCTCATTCTGACACAAGGGGACACGTGGGCAGAGCACATCCCTGCTATTAGTGCTCACACAGGGAGAAAGGCTGCACAAAGAGCTCATCATTCCCAGCTGAACAGCAACCTCCCAGCTGAACAGCAACCTCCTAACAGCTGATTCATTATACCATATACGACAGCTGTCTTATAATATTTACTTTCCACCATCAGTGCTCGCAGAGCGAGAAGGGCCGTTCAAACAACTCCTCATTGGCCAGCTGAACCAGCGCCTTCCTCTCTTCCATCAGAGCCTCCCGGTACTTCTTTGCTTCTTCCATCGTCATCGCTGCACCCCTGCCATCCCTGCTCTCTCTCCCCACACCCTGCCCCTCGCCTCCATCCTCTCCCTCATCAACCCTACCCTCCTCCCCACCTCGCTCCACACCACTTCTTTCTCCCTTACCCTCTTCCCCATGCTCTCCCCCACTCACTCCCTCTGCAATCAGATCTAGAGCTAACCCAGGCAGGACCGAGCACGGGTGGCCTTTTCTCTCCAGCTCCCTCCTCTGCCAGCTCAGCTGCTGAGGTGGCACGCGTGCAGTGGTTACGATTGCCACCCGCGGATCCACCAGGAAAAATACAAGAATCTTCCGGTGGCCGGCACGGGTTTTGTCCTGTAGCTCGAACGGTGCAACCCGGTGGTGGAAGTGGTTCGGGAAGGCGAGGCAGAGGTTCGGGATGTCAGTCCGGACCGAGCCTAGAGGTTGCGTGAGAGGTCCGTCGTCCACCAGGCCGTATATCCGAGCCACCCCTTTGTTGTCGTTCTGGTCGTAGTCTGGTTCGGCAACGGTGATCCTGAATTGAAGGCGCAACTCGGTGATGTTGTGAGAGTCGAAATAGTAAATGCCTGTGGCCTGGGGGACGGAAAGATGGGGAAGGGAAGGGGAAGGGAAAAATGGGAGTGGAGGGGATGATATAGAGGTGTTATCGCATGCTTTGTTGTCGTTCTGATCGTAGTCTGGTTCGGGAACGGTGATTCTAAACTGAAGGCGCGGCTCGGTGATGTTGTGAGAGTTAAAGTAATAGATTCCCGTGGCCTGGGGGACGGGAAAACGGGAGGGAGAACGGGATAGGGAGGGGGAAACGAGGAGGGAAAACGGGATGGGAGGGGGGAAATGGGGAGGGGAAGGGGGAAAGGAGAAGGGGAAGGGAAAAATGGGAGTGGAGGGGAGGATATAGAGGTGTTATGGCATGCTTTTGGTGTCGTTCTGATCATAGTCTGGTTCGGAAAAAGTGATCCTGAACTGAAAGTGCGACTCCGTGAGGTTGTGAGAGTCAAAGTAGTATATGCACGTGGCCTGGGGGAAGGGGAATGGGGAGGGAAAACGGGATAGGGTGGGGGAACGGACGCGGAAGGGGAAAAAGGGGACGAGAATGGGAAAATGGGAGGGAAGGGAGGGTGTGATCTGAGAGAGGGATATGGGGGAAAAACAATATCAGTGGAAATCGGTCCAATATATTCCTATCGGTACATCTATACACAACCCTCCCCTTCCCTCCCCTCCCCTCTCCTCCCATCCAATCCCCTCCCCCTCACTTACCGCCTCGTATCCACTCACCACAATATGCTCATTCCTCATGCCCTCCACATGCCAAGTACCCCCAGGTTATCTCGGGCTTTCAGGGGTAAGTCGAATGCTCGCCACCTTCACCACCACCTGCACTCGTCGCTCCCTCACCTCCACCACAGCTCACTCCTTTCCATCCCTCACACCCTCTATCCATTCACTCACCACAGTATGCTCATTCCTCATGCCCTCCACATGCCAAGTACCCCCAGGTTATCTCGGGCTCTCAGGGGTCAGCTGAATGCTCGCCACCTTCACTACCACCTGCGCCCACTCCTTCCCATCCCTCACAACCGCAAAAGCTCACCACAATATGCTCATTCCGCATGCCCTCCACATGCCAAGTACCCCCAGGTTATCTCGGGCTCTCAGGGGTGAGTTGCATGCTCGCCACCTTCACCACCACCTGCGCCCACTCCTTCCCATCCCTCACAACCGCAAGAGCTCACCACAATATGCTCATTCCGCATGCCCTCCACATGCCAAGTACCCCCAGGATACTTCGGGCTGTCAGGGGTCAGCTGAATGCTTGCCACCTTCACCACCACCTGCAGTCGCCGCCCTTTCAGGTCCACCACGTGCCCGGGGGAGGGAGGCTGTGGGGGGGAGAACTCTGCAGGGGTGTCTGGCTGCTTGGGCTGCCGGTCCACCAGCCACTGGTGGTAGTCGTCGTCGTCGTCCTTGTCGTATTCTCTCTCGCCCTTCCACTCATCGTACCACCTGGTACAGGAGTGGGAAACAGACGGTAATGGATAGAGGCACAGTGGGAACAGACGGTAATGGACAGAGGCACAGTGGGAACAGGCTCGGCTAGGGCGGCGCGGCTCGGTCGGGTCGCGCGGCTCAGTCGGGTCGCGCGGTTCGGCTCGGTCCTAGAGAGGCGAGCGCGGGGCCGGGTGGGGCTGTTAAGGGAGAGCGCGGGGCCGTCCAGGGCGAGGGCGAGGCCGGTTGGGGGCCGTTCGGGGCTAGCACGGGGCCGTTCGGGGGCCGTGAGAGGCTAGCGCGGGGCCGACGGGGGCCTTAGAGGGCTAGCGCGGGGCCGAGGGGGGGGGCGTGAGAGGCTAGCGCGGGGCCGACGGTGGCCTGAGAGGGCTAGCGCGGGGCCAAGGGGGCCGTGAGAGGCTAGCGCGGGGGGCCGTACGGGGCCATTCGGGGCTAGCGCGGGGCCGTTCGGGGGCCTTGAGAGGCTAGTGCGGGGCCGACGGGGGCCTTAGGGGGCTAGCGCGGGGCTAGCGCGGGGCCGACGGGTCCTTAGGGGGCTAGCGCGGGGCCGCACGGGGCCTTGAGAGGCTAGCGCGGGGCCGTAAGGGGCCTTAAGGGGGGCGACGCGAGGGGCCGTGAGGGGCCTTAAGGGGCGACGCGAGAGGGCCTTAGGGGGCCTGAAGAACAAGGCGCTTGAGGCGCAGGAAAAGGCGGCGCACGATGGCGCGGCTAGCGGAAACGGTGGGCCCTATCGTTTCGGTCCTAGGTGAAACCTAGGCTCGTAATACCATGTCAGAATGAGAATGAATCACTAGAATGAGGGTTGGGTACAAATAGGTCAAACCTAACCCTAGAAATGTGTACCCACTATAGGCTAACCCACTGTAGCCTAAACAACCACAACATACAATGTTTGACAAAATCCTCAGCCCAACATACAGTAACAGAATGGTTGATTATACGTGGAGGTTGAGAGCGATTCTCCTCTGTGATGGAGGTTGAGAGAGATTCTCCTCAGTGATGGAGGTTGAGAGCGATTCTGTAGGAAACAGAATGGTTGATTATATGTGGAGCAATCGTATTGTAATGTTTCTCATTGGATACATTTCGAAGAAATAACTAGCTTGTAGCTTGGTTTATATAAACATCAACAGGGCAAATTTTTGGATTTGACTTACCCTTGCGATCAGTGTAGCACAAGCTCAAAAACCTGATTATCAGTGTGACCCCTTATAAAAAACCTTTTCCATCAGGGTTTTCCGCAATGTTGTAAAATCTACCCTGTCGCATCAGTGTTCTTAAATAACAAACCCTGGTCAATGGTGGCCCACTGTGTGCCAGCACATGTGTTGTCAAGGCCAAAATTCCGGCTTCGACATTTGGCAATCGGGAATCCCGGGTTACAGGAAAGGGGGGGTGGGGGTACTTGGGGGTGGGGGGGGTAGGGTACTCGTTTAAGGGTAAAACTCGTTATGGGATTCGGGGACCCCCAGTTATCAGTGTGCCTTAAATGTAAACCCTGGCATATCACGGAGAACCTAGCTCCTAAAAAAATTACCCGGGGCCATCAGTGTGACTACCAGAAACCACCCTGATTATCAGGGTATCAGGGTGATTTACCCTGGTAAAATTTCCCCTGAACATCAACCATTGCAACTGCATGTACGGTATTCAAGCATACGGTACAACTCGATAAAACCATTCACACATCCACCCAAAACTCCCAATGAACTTGACTACACAACACATCAAGCGAAATCCCCAGTAAGATACTCCTTTTGTCGTCCTTCATCTCATGCTGCGGCTGCAGCATTGAGCAGAGCATCGTTCGCATCCTGGCTCATCGCCCAGAAGAACCACCCTCCATAGCCTTGCGCCTTGGCAAATTGAACCTTGGTGGTGATGGTGGAAGGGTCGTCGTAACCAACCCACTGGTCACCATTTACCGCATACATAGAGGATGTTGGGGCGTCGAGCGTAGCTGTGTAACCTCCAGATGTTACCAGCTCATCAATTTCCCTGTAAAAGAGAACACCAGCTTCCTGTTGGAGGGGTAGAGAGGGAAAATGCAGGCCAAGGAAGAGGGTGATGAGAGCCTGCTTGGAGCTGATTGCTTAGACTCAGGGAAAAGGGAATAAGTTGTATTCTGAAAGTGCAAGAGGAAGGAAAAAGTGAAAGTGAAAGAAAAAAAAAGCCGCAAAAGGCTGTGATCATGTGAGAGAGGGAGAGAAGCGTGCTGCGTAGAAGAAACAGGAAAGGGAAGAGCTCACCTGACTGATAGACCCAGGCTGACCAGGCCCAGTGGCTGCAGCTCCAACCCCAGTACTGCTTGTCGAGGCTAGAGTCCAGGTTCGACCGTACATCGCCAAGCCTAGCATGGCCTTGCTTGGGGCCAAGCCTCGGGACACCCAGGCAGCCATAGCACCCTTGAGGCTCAGCTGGGGGTTGCTCAGATCCTCCAGAGCAGTGTGCATGCCGGTGATTAACTCCCATGAACCATGCAGATCGTACGTCATAACATTTACAAAGTCCAGCGCACTGTTGAGTGTCGGGACGTCGTAGGATTCAGCGATTGTCGGCTCGTATGCAGAAACTGCTGCAGAGAGCAGGAGCATGGGGTTTCCAGACGAAGCGGCTTCGGATTCGATCGCCGCCCGGAAATCCGTGACCAGGGCGGAAAAGAGGGCGGCGTTGCCCGTTGGGAACTCCCAGTCGAGATCCAGACCGTCGAAATTGTACGATCGGGCGAGGATGATCGCGGATTGGATGAAAGCAGAGCGGGAGGAGGGGGACGAGGCGGCGTTGACGAAAGCGGTGGTGCCTGCGGAATAGCCGCCGATGGAGAGGAGGGTCTTGATGGCGGGGTTGGTATCTTTCAGGGCGGAGTTGAAGCGGAGATAGAGACCCTCGGTAACGTCCACTGCTGGGTTGGAAGGGACGACCTGTGTGGGGGGGAAGAAGGTGATGGGTTAGAGGCTAGCGGCTTTCAGAACGGAGTTGAAGCGCAAGTAGAGGCCCTGGGTCATGTCCACAGCAAGGTTGGAGGGGACGACCTGTGATGGGAGAGAGAAAAGGGGCTGAATTTCAGGTGATGAAAGGGTTAAAGTTGCAGAGGGCAAGGTGGGCCCTGGTGTGAAGTTGAGGCATCGGTCTGAGATGGCAGCGGCAATGGAGGAGGAATTTCCAAATACCTGCACCAAATGGAATGGAAAAGTGGGAATGGCAAGACAGTACCGTACCTTGTATGAGGTGGCGTCACGTCAATGGAAGCAAAGGCGTAGAAGACATGGGTGAGCGTGGCAGCAGGGACGACGGATGGGTCCATGCCCGCCCATTTGACAAAATACGCCATGCGCTTCATCCCCCCCGAATGGGGGAAAGGGTTCCGTTGGGGGGCGGAGGGGGGAAGGGGTGCGCTTCACACGCCTCCTGTACCTTGTGAATGGTGCCGTACCTGGTATGTGCTGGCGTCAATGGAAGCAAAGGCGTAGAACACATGGGTGAGCGAGGCAGCAGGGATGAGCGATGGGTCCATGCCCGCCCAGTTGACGAAATACGCCATGCGCTTCAGCTCAGTAGGGGGCGGAGGGGAGTCGGTTGAGGGCGGAGGGGGAGAGGAGGCGGAGGGGGAGCACTGGGATTGGCAGCCAGAGCCGCAGTAATCGGGGGTGGAGCCACACCATCCCCACTCGCTGCAGCAGAGGTTGTCGGCGCAAAGAGTTGTGGCGGAGCATTGCTGCGCGCGCGCGCGGAGGGGGAGGTGCGCGGACGAGAGCAGCAGCAGCGCGAGCAGGAGGAAGAGGAGGAGCGGAGACCGCGGCGAGGGCAGTGGTACTATGATCGCCATGATTGTTGGGGTTGAGCAGCAGACTCGCAAGGCTTTTGATTATTAGGAGAAGGGAGCGGTGAGTTACAATGGGGAAGTTGCAATGGGGAGACTGGTTCGAGTGGTGGTGACTTGTGAGACGTGATGGGGCAAGGCTGTGTTATATACTCTGATGGGAGAGCGAATGGAGAGAGGAGCGGATGGGTTTGACGGGGAATGTATAGGGATGGCGTTATCCATGGCCAATGCGGTGTAGAGCTATCGGCGATTCGGACCCCTGCCGACGCAAAGGGTTACGGGAATCCGAGTGACTCGGATGGAATTCGCTCCTCTGACCGCAATCGCGACTCGTCGCATCAGCGATTTGGATTCGGAATGCGGCTGCGGTACGTCGGTGACTTGGTATGAAAAAAGAAAGAAAGGAAAAGTGCACACGACGGCTATGGCTGCGACACCCGCGCGCCGCGTGTGTGTAAAAAGGGCTGAAATTACTACACACGTGCCGCCGACGATAGGATTCCTTCGCGGAAACACCCATGACCCGTGCCGACGTCGCGACTCGAAACGCGACAGCTATTTACGACACAATTATTGCTGCAAGGAAGAACACCGCCGTCAAGAACGCCGACCTTTCTCGCACAGACATTCCGGACAATGATCCCTCGGACTTCAGTCTGAAGATTCTAGCTAATGCGATTGGTCCGAGTTTGAGTGTTCGAGTGTCGAAACTATGTACGCACACCCTGAATGCCGTACCGTGAATGCCACGGGACTGGATCATGGAGTTGAGGGAGAAGAGGAGAGGGCTGTCTTGTCGGTCGACCAAACCCAAGTCGACCCTATCAAGGGTGTTTCTAGGGACCTCGCAACTTATGTTCCAACATCTCGGTTGAGAACGATCCCGAGGAAATCCGAACGGTTAGTGCCACAAGTATTGGGACTTGTTCACTTTCGTTCGGTAGTATCGGTTGAGAAAGATTCTGTGGAGATTCGAAGGGTCATTCGTTTGAGATTGTAAGGAAATTCCCTTTTTCCTTACTTCGCGTCCCTGCCCAGCGCGTACGTCACTGTAGCACCTCAGTCAGCACCGTTACCACTCGCGACCATCGCATCATTCATCATCCCGCCTTTTTCGCACATCGCATCCCGACCTCACGGCTCGGCTGGTAACCCGCGCTCCGGGCCTACGCTTCGACACTTTCCCAACCTCAGTCCCAGGCTCGACGCGCGACAACCACAGTCCATTACCGTTACCACTATTGTTTCGCTATATAATCCTTCGCTCATGCCTTCGCTCATTGTACTTTTGCTTCGATAGTGCAATTCTCGTTCCTTCACTCAATTGCACACGTAACACTTGGTATTCAGAGCCTACGATCTCATCTCGGACCGCATCCACACCTTCGCTTCCCACTATCTCAATTTTTGGGGGGGGTAGACGTCTCTCAGCGACACAGCACCGCCGCTCGAAGTGCTCTCTCGCAAGCACGCACGGCCACGACCGAGGCTCTCGCTGAGCTTGCCCGACACCCCCGCCATGGCCGACCTCAATCTCGCCACGTTGACGCAGGAGCAACTCGATCGTCTCGTGCGACAATTGGAGGATTCGGCGCTTGAAATCGCGACGCTCACGGCGGAACGTGACTCCGCCCGTCAACAGTCAACGGTGAATGCTCCGACAACATCCCACGCACCAACCAATGTCTCTGTACATTCGGAGGAGCCGATTATCATTTCATCCGGCACACCAACGCAACACAACAGCACGGGACAGCGCTCAGGCGCAGCCAGTGACGGCGCAGCCCAACCGATGCCCGGCATGGGAGGGAACAGGAGCACGCTAAGCCCACGGGAGCCCCGAGAAGCCCGTCGGCACGTGGAGTTTGCGACGACAAGTGGTGAAAACGCCATGATGGCCCCAATGCCACTCAAGCCGCAACGCCCGCCCTGCTTCGACCCAAGCCAACGCGGCGGCCCGACAGTTCAATCGTGGGTCTTCACGATGAATGTGTTTTTCGACGCCAACTACGTCGAGTCGGACGCCGCCAAGATTCGGTATGCGGTTTCACTACTCAGGGGCCCCGCCATGGACTGGTGGCGAGTCATCGTGACGTCGCCACGCGCCTACGAGCCACCGTCGCACGAGGAAGGGCCCTCGGGTCCAGCTGTCACCTGGAGTTCGTTCTGCGAAACAGCCCAATACAGCACGTGGGATGCGTGGTGCGCAGGGCTTCGGGCGCGTTTTGAGCCGATCGCGGCTTCGATTTCGGCGCGTCAGAAACTGCGCACTTGGCGCCAGCTCGGGTCGGTTCAAGACTACACCAGCGGTTTTCTCGCACTTTGCGAACAGGTCGGCTACATGCACGAGGCGGAGCGGGTGGACCGTTACGTCGGAGGGCTGAAGCCGGACATATCGCACGAGATAATGCTACGCGGGCTATCGAATTTCAACGAAATCCTCGCGCTCGCCGAGAAAATCGATATCCTACGCCGACCGAGACCGGGGTCCTATTTCGGACATCGCCCTCGGGGACCGATCGAGCACGCCACTGTACATGCCGTCGCAACGAATGCAGCTGCCACGCCATTTAGAGGGCGCTGCTTTGCTTGCAACCGGCCGGGCCATCGCAAGAGCGAATGTCCAGAGGAGCTGAGGCGTCGAGGAGCAGAGCAGGGGAAGGAGTCTCGGAGGCAGGGAAACGCCAGCAGTCAGTAGAAGTTGGGCCAACTACTGACGAGACTGCCTGCTCGCCCAACCACACCGACCCTCACCGAGTCACAGTACCGATTCACGCCATCGATCGGGCTCGGATGAATAAGGAGGGTACAGCGACGGATTGCCCGGTACTGATCTACGGGAAAATACAGGGAGCAGCAGTGAAAATCTTCATTGACGGAGGAGCAAGTCACAGCTTAGTTAATACTGCAACCGCACGGAAATTAAAGTTAACACTTAACCGATGTTTACCTGAGATAGATGCACGCTTAGTCGACGGCACGCCTTTGGCCATACGAGAAAAAGTGGAGCGAGTAAAAGTCCGCTGCGGGGGAAACTTCGGGTTTACACAGGAAATGCTCGCAACGACGCTGGATGGGCACGACATTTTACTGGGACGTGATTGGCTGCGACGGTACAACCCACGGATCGACTGGACGACGGGGAGCTGCACAGTGCGAAGTAGCGGTAACTGGGTCGTCCTACCTCGCTGGCGGCCACCCGAATCTTCGACAGTCCAGGTCAACGCCATCGCGATGAAACGGGCTGTCGCTGCTGGAGCTGACGTGTACGCAGTGGATATCGCAGTGGTAGAAAAAGACGAGCAGCAGAACGATTTACAGAAACTGCTAGCAGCCGTACCGACCGAATTACAAGCACTACTGAAACGGTTCCCGAGGATATTTCCGGATGATTTACCACAGGGACTGCCACCTCAGCGAGCGCACGACCATAGGATCGAGCTAGAACCGGGGGCACAACCAACAGTACAGCGGCAATTTCGACTGACACAGCCCGAGCTCGACGAGTTAAGGAAGCAGTTAGATTACCTGTTAGAGAAGCAGTTTATTCGACCGAGCTCGTCACCGTTCGCCGCACCCATACTGTTCACACCGAAAAAAGACGGAGGTTTTCGCATGTGCATCGACTACCGAGCGCTTAACCGAGTAACAGTCAAATCGCGATACCCCATCCCCCGCGCCGACGAACTGATTGACCAACTGCGAACAGCACGTGTCTTTTCGAAAATAGATTTACGAGGAGGTTACCATCAGATTCGCGTCGAACCATCGGACTGCGCAAAGACAGCATTTAGGACTCGGTACGGGTCATTCGAGTATACAGTAATGCCCTTCGGGTTGACGAACGCGCCTGCGACTTTTCAGATGACCATGAACGAGGCATTTAGGCCACTTTTAGATAAATGCGTCATCGTTTACCTAGACGATATCCTCGTTTACAGTCGGGATAAGCAGCAACACTTAGCAGATCTTGAAGCAGTTTTTAAGGTTTTAGAGGAACATCGGCTGCTCACCAAGGGCTCCAAGTGCGAGTTTTTTAGGGATAGGCTAGAGTTTTTAGGTCACGTCATTTCAGAGGCTGGGGTTGAGATTGACCCAAAGAAGCTGGACACGGTAAAAGCGTGGCGCCCCCCGACGAACATCACGGAACTGCAGAGTTTTTTAGGGTTTGTTAATTACGTTCGACGGTTCGTGCCCGACATGGCACGTTTAACCGCCCCGCTAACTGATTTACTGCGTAAGGGGGTCGCTTTTACGTGGGGGGAGAAAGAGCATGCTGCCTTCTCTGCCCTAAAAAACGTTCTTTGCTCACCACCCGTCCTACGCATCGCTGATCCCCACCGCCCTTTCGAAGTGGTTACCGACGCAAGTGACATCGCCATCGGAGCTGTACTGTTACAGGACTTCGGCAACGGCCTCCAACCCATCGCCTACGAATCACGAAAACTACATCCGCCTGAGCGAAATTATCCGATACACGACCGCGAAATGCTCGCGATCGTGCATGCATTCAAAGTTTGGCGCTGCTACTTGACTGGCGCAGACGTGACAGTACGGAGAGACCACCGATCTCTACAGTACCTCCGCGCACAGCCCCACCTCAACCCACGACAGATTCGATGGCTCGATTTCCTCGAGTCGAATTTTCACTATACGGTCACATACAAAAAGGGAGCATCGAATATCGCCGACGCACTGACCCGCCCCACTGCCCAGATCCACGCGATACTACTCGCCCAGACCAGCCCACTGCTTACCGGCCTATTTACCCACGGATATCAAACAGACCCGTTCTTTACAGGAGGCAACTCACAGCGATTCGCAGCGGCAAAAGGAGTCTATTACGTAAAAACTGGAACCGACCGCATCTGGGTACCGGGATACACGTTACTTCGGGAACTACTGTTACAGGAAGCACACGACGGAGTTACCTCGGGACATTTCGGGGTAGAAAATGTCAGATTATTATAGCTGATGCATGTTTGTAGGCTATAGTGGGGTAGCACATATGGGGTACAGTTTGCTAGGGTTGTATTTGTACCCAACTCTGACTTAGTCAATTGATTCCTGTTCAGTTAGTTTCACATGGTATAGAGCGGGTCCCTCCTAAGGACCGTTCTTTGGGCCCACCCACGATTTTTTTTCCTGCCCGGAGCGCGCCCTATTCTCCCCGAGGCGCGCTCCCCCTAGTGCGCGTCGAGCTGCCCTTGTGGCGCCCCGAG